GTGTGCTAGCACGGGATAGGTAGTTTATCCAACGATCTATTTGTGCGAGATACCGGAAATATAAATGCCCCTAACTGATGGGCATGTGACTTATGGGCACAACGCAGGATTCGAAATAACGCTACTATTCCGTTGCATAAAGGACTGGGGATACACACCTGCATCATCATCATCAATATACACGTTAGGTGGGAAACACCTCAGCTACTATGCCGCAATACATAAAAGAAAAAGGGAAAATGCAACAGGTGCAAGCCAGCTGAGCTACCGGTAACGGATAGGCATTGTTCCGGTAAGCTACCAGCCGGCTACTATGCAGCAAAAATATTAAATTATGCTAAGAAATGAGATCGTGGTTGGAGGGGAGGCTAAAAGGGATGGGGTGAGACAAAGAAACTCACAGCACGAACGCCACTGAGGTCGGCTTCTTGCCATATCAGCAAGTGTATCCAAGTCATCGCTTGGCCACCCCTCCTCTTTTTCCATCCGCACCCCCGGCGCGCAAACAACGCACTTCGCGGGAGCCGATGGGCTGGCATGTGTAACACATGGCCGAACCATCGGAGCCTGATGCGTGAAATAACGGTGCTGAGCGGTTCATTTCCTTTTCCTGTGCCGTAAACAAGTCGTCGAACACGGTCGTTGCTTACTCGGTGTTCCCAACAGATGTCAGTCAAATTGCGAAGGTACCGGTGCTCGGACGTAACTGGACTCTTTATGTCCGCTGATCTAGAGGGGCCAGGTTTTACAACAGTGCGGTAGGCTCAAACGTACCGCCGCATTGTACACACTACCCTTCAGGGCGAGAGTGATGTCGCGCCGGCGCCATAAGTGGCGAAGATTAGCAAAAGCGCCTCGAGCTTTTGCTATACGGTTCGTGATCTCATCTTCAATCCCACGGGCGTTGATACAAATTCTCAGGTAGTTGAATTTTTGAAGGACTTCTAGCTGATCCCCACCAAGGGTCAGCGTAGGAGGCAGTCCAGGCCAATCTTCGAGGAACGCTTTGCACCCCGGTGGTACAAAGCAAAGCCCGAAGCGGTTGACAGCCAGTGCTTATCTGTCCAGTACCGCTTGGCACGTCTGGGAGCTGTCACAGATTAGGGCAATATCGTCAGCATACTCCAAGTCAAGAAGACGTGCTCCTGGGAGCAGATTCACACCTTTTAAGTCGTGTCCTGTGAACGCGATTTCCATGACTTCGTCAACAGCGAAGTTGAAGAGGAAAGATGACAGCGGGCATCCTTGTCTCACACCGCTAGAGATTAACGGGCGACGACAGCTTGCCGTAAGCCCTCACTCTGCCTGAGCTACGCGCGTATAATGATCGCATAATATTTACATATTTCTCGGGTACATCTTTCCTGAATAGACAGTCCCAAAGTGCACGTCTATCCACCGAGTCGTATGCACCTTTGATATCGAGGAACACGACAACGGTGGGCCGCCAATATATGTGACAGTGCTCCAATAACTGACGCAAAGTGAAGATGTGATCAACACAGCCACGACCTCGACTAAACCCGGCTTGCTCTTCACGAATATGGCTTTCGCGAGTGCCAGTCAGTCTAGGGGGGATGACAGAGGCAAGCACTTTGGAGGCGATGGAGATCAGATTGATTCCATGGTTGCCGCATTCCGATCCTGAGCCTTGCTTGAAAATTGGGACTATGACGGAGCGACTCCAGTCGGATAGGACAGTTTCCTGCTGCCACAGTTTCACTAGTAACTAGTGTAAATCATCCACAGGTGCAGGTCCCCTGAATTTGAAGAGGGTCGGAGGAAGATCATCTGGACCCGCGGCTTTGTTTAACTTCAATAGTGCGATCTAACGTCCGACTTCTGAGTGAGAGGGTGGATCCAAACGGGCAACCCACGGAGCGGGGCGATCAGTGGCCGACGACAAATCTAACAATTCCGACCGATTAAATTGCTATTCAAAATGCTCAGCCCAACGCTCCAAGCGTTTTGACAAGTTGTGGATAGGCTGTCCACTCTCGTCACGTATAGTTTCACTAACACCAGGTCTTCCGCTGCCCGTTTCCCGTATCCGCCGGAATAACCTACGATAGTTACCAAGGGCACCGGGCCATTTCCATCTCTGATGCACGATGAGACCACCATGATTCGCGATCTCTCTTCAGGCTAGCACGGAGTTTTGCCAGGAGCTCTTTGCGAGTTTCATTTTGTTCGCTTCCAGCCGGAATATGCCGGCGAGCATCGATAAGTTCCAGAAACTGCGTAGAGACCTAGTGTCCATGTTGGCGATTAGACTTGCCACATGATGATTTGTCTGCTGCTAGTAAGGTCTGGTGAATATGAGACCAGTGAGCTTCAACTGCATCCAGTGAGCGCTTACTCAACTCGCATGACAGCGTACTTTGATAGGCATTCAGAACAGCTGGCTTCGCCAGTTGGCTGGTGTCAATGCGCTCACAACGTCGTCTTGGGCGTCCGCCAAAACGCATCCGCAGGTCAGCACATACAAGTGCATGGTCGGTGTTCACACCTGTGCTCCAAATCGAGCGACAGTTCTGGATGCAGCCTCTCCAGCGGTAACTTATCGCAATGTGATCGATTTGCGTCCATAGCTGGTTCGAGGCTGGTAGGCGCCAAGTTACCCTCCGGCGGGTGCTGTGTCGGAAATTAGTGCTCGCAAGTAATAAGCGAGCATCTTCACACAAATGAAGTGACCGCTCACCGTTATTATTACGGGAGCCTACACCATGTTGGCCGTTCAGATGCAGTTCATCAGTGGATAATTTTCCAAATTGAGCGTTCAGATCCCCAGCCAGCAAAACAGTATCGAAGCTTCTTTTGTGGCGAAGGAGCTCGTTCATTTGGCGGTAGAAGTCATCTTTTACCGAATCATCGCTAGAGTCTGTGGGTGCATAGGCAGCGATGACGAATAGACACCTGTCAGTCCCGTGCGGTTTCGAAGCTTTGAACGAGCCAGCCAATCGGACCGCACACATCCAGCTACTGATTGGAACCCAATCAACCAGAGCAGCTTCAGCCCAAGTACTCAGAGCAATACCAACATCGGATTATCCGGTGCTGGAAGCTGCATCGTCACCGGATAGGGGCAATGAGAAAGCGTTGTTGGTGTCACCTGAAGGGGATGGCAAAGTGAGCACGGATCTCGAGTCTTGCAGGCGGGTCTCTGATAAGCAGCAGATATCGATCGAGAGGGTTTCTAATGTTCAGGCAAGTACTGCCTGTTGACCTGTGCGTACATTGAGGCATGCCAATCTGAAGGATGATCGAGGGCTCCAAATGGAAGTTGGTGAACTGGGCTTGGCTGCTTGCTTGGACATGGGCTTGTCGACAGGGCAGGAATGACGCTCCGCGTTCACATGTGAGTTGAAACTAGATGGTAAAAGCCTACCAAAGCAAGGTGGGGGAGGACCAAGAATTGGGGCGGGGGATAAAAGTGAAGCTGGAACGGGACGATAAGGGTGAAAAGGCGTAAGAGGGGGAATAAGAAGATGGAAAGGCTTGAGCAGTAGCATGCAAACCCCTATCCACCCTGCTCGGTGCAGCAGATAGGACACCGTTGGTTATCCTCTGCGGTGACCAGAGCATCAAGAAATTGTTTGACGAGAGATTCATAGTATTGCGTGGGCAGGATACTTTCAGGTTGCTCAGACCTAGACAGGAGAACGATTAGGGTTCTCAATCAAAGCCTTTGGTTCAAAAACCTGACCGCAAAGCAGCGGGTTTGGTGTTGGGCTACAAGGAGTCCGTTTTAAGGAATAAGGAGCCATCCTCATCCCAACCCCAATGAGGCTGAGTTTCTCTGGCTTCTAACCATTGACCAATCTGGTGTAAGTGGCTCTCAAGGTGCAAAAATAAGCAGCACTCAGCATAGCTCAATGGATATCTGAAGCACGTAAACCATCGCACCACGGTAAGGTCCAGCTTCATTGCGATGGATACACACTTGCAGTGTATCCCAATTGCGGAACGTTTCATTATCCAGCGACGAACAGCATCTGATGTGCTTCCTATCACTTTTCGACCCCACCACACGTGTCCACACAGGACACCGGTTTGGTCCAGCTCGACGCGGTGTCGGTGCGCAAGTCCAGCAGCGCGCGCACACATTCGCAATCTTTCGCATGGAAAAATTGCTTAATTTACTGCGGCTTGTGGCGGACTTCAGCTTTAAAACACTGTTTTCATAGAGGCGCATGTGTAATACAGCGCGTTAACGATTTACGTTGACATGTCGCATTAGAATGTTAAACTGCGCTGGTACATCACATTTGTTACAGAAACCCGTCATCTTTCATTGAGATGTTTAAACGGAGGAAAAATATGAAACCTTTTCGGCACTTGTACTGCATCAACCACATCACATCAGGACGGGAGTGGCCCCAAGCATCTATGACGCAGTATCGTATATCATGCCACAAGTGCTGCTTGTCTACCTCGGTGTCGGAATAAACGTGAATTGTCAGTTAGGAATGAGTAGTCGATCTTGTTTGAACGCTACACATTGCTGTTCCTTTTCTTGCATCGCTGAAGCAGGGTTTACTATAACGCAGGAAATCGGTTGCTCCGGTTGGCAGTTCAAATGTTTATTTGATCGCCGAGGTGAGCTATTTGGCTTGACGAAATCGCGCATCAGCACCTCAGGAGTAAGGTTGTCGATAGATGGATCCGTTTCGATGTGCATTTCATCCATAGTGATATCACACCTCTGAGCCACACACCCAGTCCTTTCATCTACCGCTACGGTGTTGTTTTATTGCCTTTTATTCTAAAGCACCCGCTACTTTTGTGAAAATCAGTCACTCCTTTTGATTTTCTATGGATCAGGTAGTGCTTGCCCTGAATGCGTCGATTTCCCCCATATTTTGCACTATCAGTATTTCCGATTATCCGAGTCGATTTGCTCCAGTTTTGTGATCAGCTAAATTTATTTCTACCAACAAATTAGCCAAGTTTCTCCGTACACTATCCATGAAATTTCTATCCCATCTCTCACTCCACAGGCGCCTCCTATCCTCCTTATGGTAAGATGGTCTTGCATTTTGTCTATTTGCGGTTAATCTTTATAGCCATTTTCATCCCCCGCATTTTTTGATAGACTGTTTGTCGAACATTTTATTGCCATCTCGTATCGCGAGCTCGTAGTATGCCACCAGCCTGTTTAATCAAAGGACTTGTACAGCTCAGCATGGCGTTCCCGTGATCCAGTGGCCAGGGTGGCATTCTGAGTGAAATGTTATATTGGTTCGGACAGGCTTTCTGGAACAATTACAGACCACTGACGAGAGCACCATTGTCCGATACCATTTGTTCTCACGTCAGCATGTAACACCAGGTGGTGTCAAGGAATTTGGCCTCCGGTTAGACAAACTTCCCGGTCCACTACGATGCGCTTACAGTAGGCGCATTGCGTTTGAGTCAATCCCCGTATCCAGTCGTATTCGCCAATAAATCATCTCGTCCGGCCAATGTAGGCGAGTAAATTGCACACTTCTCTCATCTTTAATTGTCTATTTAGTTTAACCAGTCTCATCTTCTCTTCCTCAGTTGCACGCATTCAGAGATGCTAGTGCATCAATCACTGGGTAAGCTGCTGCAGTCATCGTCCACCGATTCGGCTCCCTTGAATAGTCATTTGTATGCAACCAATTTGACAACTAGGGCTGATACACGAAGCAGTGCTGGACGCTACCTGTTCATGATTGCTGCTATGCCCCAACACATTCCACTCCCAGTACCGCCAAAAGTGGCGATGATAAGTCCGTTATATTAGTAACTTTGGCTGAACAAGTTTCCTTAGTTACGCATTTGCTTCACATAGCCCATATTCATTTGTCTTGAGAACCCTCGTTTTGTTTACCGAATCTAAAATGCTGTATTCTTCACAGGGCATACTCACTGACTTGGCAGCGAGCATTGCATTTGCTGACTTGCCGCCTATGTTTGTCCTGTCTTCCGGACTTGGGTTCGGACACTACACCCTGTTCCCAACAGGATGTCTTGCAGGTCATGGTACGCAACTGACACCAGTAATGATTATGTTGTGGTCACCCAGTCGGACCGCTTGTTTAAAGAGCGTGTTGTACTGAGTTATCTGCGAGGAAAGGGTGATTGTGGTGCGGGGCTGTAGCAGACACAAGCGAGCTATACTCATCATAATTCTGCACATTAGCTAGGAGTGAGAAACCCCTGTCTATTGTTCATCGCCTTTCTGATTCCACCCAGGAATTCGCGAAGCTTCGCTGGAAGCCAACTTCGAAGTGAGGGACTTCATTCCTCTTTACCGAGTCATCGGTTGGTCTCCTCTTCCATCCAGACCCCGGTCGCGCAAACCACGCACATCGCGGGAGTCGGTGTGCTGGTATGGGTAACATATGACACAATAATCCTAGCCTGGGGCGTGAAACAACGCTATTAGCGGTTCACTTCCTCTTTTTGCGCCTTAAACAAGACGCCGAGCACGCTCATTCCTCAAGCAGTGTTGGTTTCGTCCATCTAGGCGCTTTACTTTGTTCGTTGTCACGCAGACACTGTGACGCCTACCTCAAGGATTTCTCTCGGCGCGTCTGCGAATAACATCCTGTCCGCCACAGTCGTATTTTGTTTTGCTGCGTATTTACTCGCTTTTCCACATAGGCTTTGTTTTATTGACGCTTGTTGTACCATCATGTTGAATTCCCGAGTCTCCTTTACTCCCACACATGATTACACCCGCTGCCGCACTTTTCGACCTTTAATCATCCTCATTATGACACATTTTAGCACCTTAGGTGATACATTTGTCACAGATGTCCTCGCACCGTAGTACAATATATACGCAATGTCTAACTCTTCCACTGAACCATCGCTTGTGAGACGAAATGATCAGGTAGCACAGCAATGGATCGATTTTCAATCCCATCAGAAACCGTCCCCTTGTATTCACACCCTCCTTTCATCTACTTGCCTCATCATATCAATCGTTTTATACATAGTGATATGTGCGGAAAGTCAATGTATCCGGTGCTCGAGACTGTTGGGTTTAGAGGTCAGCCATCGCCAATCTGTCCCAAGTACTAATGTGGTTCGGACTACATTGCCACAGCACCAATAGTATGAAATAGCCAATTACCGGATGCCTTTCACTATCGGCCCACAGACTTCATGCGACGCGTCAGGGATAAGACTGATGCTTATCTGTTTTTTAAAAACACCTGATGTAACAGGGGGTGATGCTTTGATGATATATACCGAGCAATGGCCATGAACTTCTGATTTCATTCGCAGCATCATCAACACTGGCAGTTACCCAGGTGGAGGCACTTTACCGTATCTGACAAAACTACTGAAACTGCACTAAGCTTGGTGTCCGCTAAGTGTGCATCGTTTGTTACGTGTATTCCAGAGTGACATTCACCTGGCAGTAATCGCTCTGTAAGCTGGCTGCTTGAAAAAAAAAACCAAAGGCACGCTTAGCGCCACTGACTGCTCAGCCCTGCAACCCCCACACATGGACACCGGCAATACTTTCTCATTGCGCTTTTCCGGAGATGACGCAGCTTCAAATGTCAATCAAACCGGTGTGGGCATTGGTCTGAGTCCCCGAGCTGAAGCTGCCGTGATCGATTGGATCCCAGTCAACGGCCGTCAGACTGGCTTGCTCAGTACAAGCTTCGAAGTTGCGCGGGGACATACAGTGCCTGTTTGTCATTGCACCCTACGCCCCCACAAACCGTAGCACTGACTCGGTGAATTCTGTCACCAATTTAACGAAATCCTTCGCCTCAGAAATAGTACGGATACTGTGATGCTTGCTGGCGATCTGAACGCTCAAGTCGGAAAATCGTCCACTAATGAACTTCATCTGGGCGGCCAACATGGTGTAGGCTCCCGTAATGATAACGGTGAGCGGTTACTTCATTTGTGTGAAGATGCTCCTCTCCTCGCGAGCAGTAACTTCCGACACAGCACCCGCCGGAGGGTGACTTAGCGCCCACTATTCTTGAACAAGCTATGGACGCAAATCGATTGCATTGCGATTACATGCAGTCTCTGCAGTGTAAAGCTTCATATTTCGTGCGTTGGTCTGACTGTAGACCAATTTCGTGTAATTCAGGGCATTCAGAACGAATTTTTGAAGACCGTTTGTAAACAGTGCCAAGCTAAACTTGTGCAGAATAGAACCGACACGTCTAACAAGCGGATCAGTACAACGAAGTGCTCTAAAATGCCCAGCTCGCCTTGTGCTACACCACAGTCAGGGAAGCAGCCAGCGCCTAGTACAACATCGCATCCATCCCGGAAGCAAGGTACTAAAGTTCCGTCAGGCTCTCCCTCAAGGCCTACAATGTGTTCTGTTGACAGTAAAGCTCCAATTTGCAATAAGCAAATTGAGGATAACGAATGGAAAGTGCAAACACCGAAGAAACCAAGAGCAATATCTAGCGACCTGAGGCGCCGTAGCCTCATGGTCTTTCACGCACCTGAATCAGGTGATTCCAATCCTCAGGTGCGCTATGAACATGACGTCGAGTTTTTGCAATCATTGATTGATAGACTACTCGATGTAAATGAGGGCGGGCTCAAAGTGCAGCAGATCGCCCGTCTAGGAAAGAGAATAGAGGGCAAAAGTCGGCCCATGAGGGTGACATTTGTCGAAGAAGCAAGTCCCAAGTTACTATTGTCCCGTCTTAATAGGCTGAAGGGTCTAAAGATCCACGTGCGCGCTGACTTAGACCCGGCAGACAGAGAGAAACTCAAGTCTGCTATGATTGAACTAAAGCGACGCACGGAGGATGGAGAAACAAATCTCCGTATTGTAAATTTTCGGGTAGTTGCCCGGATTCCTCCACGAATCCGGATCAACAGGTTTCTAATGCTTCAGGCGCGCCCAGCGGTTCCTACCGCGGTCTGCGCGTAGCCTTTACTAACGTGTGCAGTCTGATGAACAAGCGCGATGTGCTGTACGACTTTGTAAGCTCTCAGCGACCAGACGTATTAGGCCTTGCTGAGACATGGTTAAACTCCGAGGTAACCGCCCAAGAAGTGGAAATCACCGGCTACTCATGCTTCCGCTGTGATAGACCATCAAATGATCGCGGTGGCGTTCTACTTTACATAAAGTCTTCCTTGTGTGGGAGACTAGTGAGCGCCTACCAAAGCGCTGATGGTCTATGTGAGCAGTTATGGTGTTCGATTCACCTCAGACGCTGCGAGTTGCTCGTGGGCGTGGTATATCGCAGTCCACTGAGCCGCTGTTTGGACTGGTTGCCGCATGTCCGCAACCACATGAGTCGTCAGATGTTCCTACTCATGGGCGATTTCAACTTGCCCCGAATACAGTGGCCTGAGGCTGAACTTCTCCCCGGCCACTGTGAAGTCGAGAGGAAGTTTACGGAGTTGCTATTTGAAACCGGGGCCACACAGCACATCAACCAACCGACACGCATTACTGCGCGCGCGACTCCATCGTGCTTAGACCTGCTTTTGACTAGCTGTGAGCAGCGTGTGCATAACATTCAAGTCTTAGAGCCTCTGGGAGCGAGCGACCACTCGGTGATCATAGGCAGCTTGGAACTACCGCTGCCGTATTCTCCCCACTAGAGTCAGCCTTCAACTATTGGAAGGCGGACTTTAATGGCCTCATTCGAGCAGCGAGCCAGATAGACTGGTCTTTACCACAGGATTCATCTATTGAAACCTGTTGGACTATCATTAAAGAGGGAGTGAAATCGTTGTGCGCCCGATTTGTACCCCTCAAATTTCGGAAAGTTGGGCCAGTCAAACCACATTGGTTCGACAAAGAGTACAACAAACTGGCCCGACGGCGACGCAGACTATGGAACAAATTCGTGTTATCTGGCTCTGATGAGGACTACAATGCGTACAAGGTACAGCGAAATCGCTGCAACAACGCGAAAACAAGAAAACGCAGAAGCTTCGAAGAGGAGCTTGCAACCGCCGCAAAAACTGCTCCCAAGAGGATCTTCGCATACGTGAAGCGGCGCCTGAGGCCTGTAGCCAATGTCCCAGTGTTAGAAGGCTCAGAAGGACAGCCCCTAACCTCGAGTGCAAATCGTGCGTCCGCATTAGCGGCGCACTTCGCCTCCGTATTTGCAAGTGACCAGGTGTCTGTAACGAGTTCGACGAATACCGCTCCAGCCGAACTTAACAGCCTGGACTGCAATATTGAGGATGTACGCAAGCTTCTAGCAAATCTTGACGGGACGAAGCCTGCTGGGCCAGATGGTATACACCCACTGATCCTCAAGTCCCTATCGGCCATCATCGCGCCTTCTGTAACTGAACTGTTTAACAGGTCACTATCCACTGGACTGTTACCGGACGACTGGAAATGCTCAGTCGTAAAGCCCATACCGAAAGGTGGTAACCCAAGCAAAGTGGATAACTACCGGCCGATCTGCCTGACCGCTGTTTTGGCAAAGACGCTCGAGAAGATCGTGAAGAAGAGCCTTCTGCAGCTTCTCGAGTCGAAAAACCTGTTGACCTCCGCACAGCATGGTTTCATGAAAGGTCGCTCGTGCATCACCAACCTACTGTTGACGAGGCACGAATGGTTACAAGCGCTGAACCAAGGCCAATCGGTCGACGTCATTTACATTGACTTCAGTAAGGCTTTTGACAAGGTTAACCATGCAGTGCTCCTTGACAGGCTGAGGATGTGCGGTGTTGGTGGTTCGCTGCACAAATGGATCAGAAATTTCCTTGTTGATCGAAAGTGGAGGGTCCAGGTGGACAACCATCTAACTGACTGGTATCCATCGAGCAGCGGCGTGCCCCAAGGCACTGTACTGGGGCCGATATTGTTTCTGATCCATGTAAACGATGTGCCTCAGCTACTCCAATCACCTTGTGCGTTGTTCGCAGATGACTTGAAGGTGTGGAAAGTAATCCGCACACTCAATGATTGTGATTTACTTCAGCAGGACCTCGACCGCCTCTCGACATGGTCTGCAGAGGTTAACCTTCCGATCAACCCTGCCAAGTCGCAATTTATGAGGTTGGGTAAGTGTGAGCACAGCCGAACGTACACAGTGGCTGGTCAACCGTTGCATCCCGCGCCTTTCGTGCGCGACCTCGGTGTGCTCTCACGCTGCGACCTAAAGTCCATTGACAACACGAATAGGCTGTACCAAAACAGCCTTCGGATGCTTTGGGCGCTCAGGCGCAGCTTCAGCACTTGGTCCGAAGAGATTGCTACTCGCCTCTTCGTCTCGATAATACGACCAATGCTAGAGTACGGCTCTCCCGCGTATTGTCCCATCACCCTGGGCGAGGTAGAAAAGCTTGAACGGGTGCAGCATGTAGCCACCAGGCTGATTCCCAACTTACGAGGTATGCCATACGAAGACCGATGTAAGAAACTAGGGCTGTACACCCTAGCTTATCGTCGGCTGAGGGTTGACCTCATCATGACGCACCGGATATTACATCTGAGTGATTACCCCATGTTGAGACAACTGCTTCATCTGCGCACACCAAGCTGCACGCGAGGACACCGGTATAAACTTATCGTACCGGAGTTGAAGCGGGTCGCTCACCAACTCTGTTTCGAACGCAGAGTGGTGAATGTCTGGAACGACCTGCCGCAGCACATAGTAGAGGCGAACTCAGTGTCCGAATTTAAGAAGCTCCTAGACAAACACTTTGCAGAGGCAAAATATAGAGAGCGGAACGATAAATAAGGAGTATATGTCCAAGAGCGACGAATGATGCAGCTACACAGAGAAAGCTCTACTCGCTGCTTCGAACCAGTATTCAGTTAACGGTGGAGAGTCTACGTCCAAAACTGCCGCTCAATTCGGTGCACGAGCGTAGACTCCGACCACGCACTGATATGTGCCGACCAGCGGGTACGTTTTCGCGGGAGTCTGCAACGGTGCTGTGAGCCCATTGATACCTACCAATTGAATGTATATCAACGTACGCTGGCATGCAGGTTGAGTAAACGTTCACTGAACAGAGTTGAAGATCACTGGTCGCATATCCGCCAGACGTTATTAGCAGCAGGCATGTCTCCATGTGGCAAATTAAATCGCCAACCTGGACATTGAATCTCTACATAGTCTGTTCAACCCTCCAGTACGGTTGCAACAGACCTAAAGAGGTTAGTTACATTCGACCATTGCTGTCTTCACAGCTTAGCTCGTGTCTGGTGGGAACATCGTGTGAGCGATGAGCATGTTCGACGCCTTTTTATAGCTTAGGAAAAAGAAACGAACCGCTCGGTACCGTTATTTCACGCGCCAAGCTCGGATGGCTAGGCCACGTGTTGCGCATGCCAACACCTCGACTCCCGCGACATGCGCTGTTTCCGTGCCGGGGATGTGGATGGGAGAAGAGAAGGGGCCAAGCGATGACTTGTTTAAGAAGAATGAAGGCCCTTAGTTCGAAGCTGGCCTCGGTTGGACCCTCTCGGCACCCTGCTTGGGGTCAGAAAGACGATGAGCACGCTTGCCTGGATACACTTGTTGACATGGCTAGGAGCCGATCTCAGTGGCATTTGTGTTGTGAGTTTCTTTGTCCCTCCCTCCCGTTTAGCTTCTCCCTCCAACAACAATCTCACACCCAGCATCAAATTGCTTGCTTTTTTAGTTTTTGTATTCTGTTATGTTTGGTATCTCAACTTCCCATATGTCTTTTGTATTGCGGCGCAGTTAGCTGAACTGCGTTTCTCACCTTCAGCTAATATGTTGATGAGGGTTGACACATCTGCGTTTATCATTTGCCTACCTTTGTGTTTTGCTTACCGATGCTTAAGTTGTTGGGATCTCTGATAGCGAGGAAGCATAACGAAATTTACGGAGAGGTTAGGCTGGATTGGTGCCCATCGTCTTTTTGTGGATACGATCTCGGTGATAAAAGAACCCCAGCCGCAACGTCATTGGTGCTCTTGTCTTCAGTATCTAATTTTATCGTCAATTTTTTCATTTAATGACTGGTTTTTCTCATCCTGCTTTTCTGTTATGCCAATCTCTGCCTTTTTATTTATTTATTTTCTCTCACTCTTCTGATCTTCGTTATCTTGGCAACGTCAAGTATACAGCTAGATCAACGGCGTTTCTGCGTACGGACCATATTTAACTGGATGCGCTGGATTAGGTCACGGTCTTATGGTTCGCTTCCAGGGTTATCGTAGAGAGTTGGAGTGCAAAACAGCCTTGGTTTAGGACGGTTATGCCAATTTTATCGCGATTTATATCCCCCGGGATTCGTTTGTGTACTCAAGACCCTTGATACTTTCAAACTCACTCTTGTCGTCATAGCTAGTCAATGGTTTTCAAGTAAAACAAACTTATTGCTTCCCATTGAAGCTTGAAGGAATCACCCAAGATTTTCATCTTCTTCAAAACTGCTCATATGCAATGGTACTCCAGTTTTGTGCTATGTATGACTCGTTCAGACCCTCACTTTCGCAGGACGCATCGAGTTTTATCACTGAATTCTGCTGACCCCAGTGATGAGACTCAACCTTCAACGAGCATGTTCATTAACTCTCATCTTCTATCCACCATGGTTACCAGTGTGCTGTCTGACACTACACGAGTAGGCCGATGGTACGAAGACTTGACAGCAATTTCAGTCTATCTGTTGTGCGAACTGTCTGGTGGTGTTTGTTGCAAGTGTATTTTGAATCAAAGACCATCGAAAGCGATTGCTGTGGTGTTCGCCAAGCTGGGCAGTTGCCTAACGGCAACTGAATACACGACCCTAACTAACAGTATTTCGATTAATTTTCGACTATCGAATAGTAAGGAGTAGCATACACTTAATTACCTGCGCTCAAATTTATCTCGTCTGCTCATTTCTCTTGGAAACCTTCTTCTAGTCGATTTCACATTTCCGAAGAAGCTGCTCTATTTTTTGGGATCGTAAAGAATGAGGCGCTTTTCCACCGGTCTCATTTTTGAAACTTTTTCGTGAGGAAGCCTATGCATTCGGTTTCATCACTTGGTAGCATGACTTGAAGAGTCATGGAATACAGGAGGCCTTGCAATGCTTGCATGTGTATCTTGTCTTTATGATACCTAACAAATGTTTCATGCGTTCCATTGTTTCTGACTCCATAACACGGGCTCATTCAGGGCTACCATTTTCCCTCAGTTGCGCAACAGTTTCTCGTCTTTAGGTATTGAACGATGTTTGTTATGCCTGTGCTCGTTCGACTATCATGCGCTTGTATTCATTTGCACGTGGAACGTTCAGATGGCGCATTCGCCACTCACGATGTATGCTCTGGTCAAATTCCATGGTTAGGTCAGCCGGTACTGGCACAACTGGTGTCGAAAATGGTGCACCGGTATCAGCAATGCCCCCTGATTATGATGATTGCATCGATATCTGTGTTTTTCGCCCCATCGGTTTTTCTTTCTCCTCCCGTGATTGCGTGAAACGCATTTTTACGCTATCGGCTGTCAAATTCGGTTACACTTTTCGGGAATTTCGATGTTACTATTCAGATGTCTGACCCACCTGAGCGAGCCCTGCAACAACTTTTTCCTTAACTTCTTCCCATCAGCAGTCCCCGGCTATCCGCCAGTCGCTGGGATGCCTATGTATGGTTTCTACTCCGGATATCCACCGATGCCACCAACACAGATGCCACCCCTACCGCCTTATCCGATGATGTCCAATCCTCCTTGTTCCTTTGGACAGGGACAGCAACCCAAGCCATGATAACTGAATATTGCGAGTCAGGCTGGTCTCTACCGGCTTCCAGCTCTAGGATCCATCCACACTACTTGTTCGTTGACGCCCCGTGATCGATATACCTATACAAACACCCGTTTCTATTTGTCGACCATTTCACTTTCTGTTTTAAAGCCTTTTCACGTATCGATTCTTATTTATATTTTTGCACAACCACTTCTATCGTGTCGACCAACAAACATCTTGTTTAGACTGAACAACATGCCCTCTAGACAGCGAACAAACAGTTGGCTTGTGATTGTCCACATTGATACGACCTCAAATTTGTTTCACTGAACCGGTTGTCTGGTCTGTGTACCACTGTCATTGGAGTGCTTTTCTTGTGATTTCACTCGATTGCTTCACCTGTTCCATTCCGGGTTCGGCGGTGTACCCGTCTTTCTTCAGCCTTACTGTACCTCAGCAAAAGTGAACAATCTACTCCGCTTCTAAATCGCACCCACCATGGCTTGCGTGTGACACCATCTGCATCCCATTTATAGGCGCCCAGTAACGGCGGCTTGTGTGTTATTCCATCCATCGATCAGGTGGCATGGTAGATTTCCGCAATGCGGTCGAATCCGGAATGATAGCGCTGATTGTGATCCCAGGCCTCTATGCTTGGCTAGCACTGAGTCGTCCAGAAGGCGGAACAAACAGGTGTAGTTGCACCGTCACTCCAGTAATGCAGCTGTAAATTAAAAAGAATCAATTAATCAATGGCCATCTGGATAGTCCCTTACACATGAGGAACAAAATGCACTGAAATACATTTGCGGTTGCCTGGCGGAAATGACGAATGAGAGGTGATTCGGTTGTCTTACTTCTATTGTTCCCTTGTTTGCCCTGCATAGTCAACTTAGTTTCCGTTGCGTGTCGTCAAGATTTATCCCGTTTTTCATTTTGATTAGGAATCTTGTGAGGATGTGTTGTTTCCTGGGTCGAGCGGCGTCTGTGCTTTGTCACATGTTTGTCATCATTTTCCTCCGGTTGATATTCAGTACGAGGAATCACTGTAGTCTACAACGGTTTTGCCGGGCAGAGAGCACCTGAGACCATATGTACAGTCAGTGTAGTAATTAACCACAAGAATACCAGACCAGTGGACCTGAACTCGGTACCTGATACCTGTCAACATTGCCTGCTCAAGTCTGACCAAATTGTCAACGCTTTCTTTGTACGCAGCAATTATCCCTTACAAGACACGAGCAGGGACTGAGGTGTAAGATGCAGAAAACAATTTCCTACCCTGGAGCATTTCAAGTGATCTCACGATCAGCATTGCTTACAAAGGCTAGTACCAACGATTCTATTCGGTCCACTAAGCATTGGTTGTTAGGCCAATCAATTTGTTTACAAACAGTGTAGCAGTGTCGTACTCCTCCGGGAGTGCCGATTAACTGGAGGGATCCTGGAATGAACGATTTGTTGACTGACCTGGTGTGTGTGTGCAGTTGATAATCGACTGATGTGTATGTGTGCGCGTTCGGATCCTGTGGACAGTCAAAATATATCGTAAAAAGAATTTTAGTTACTCAACTGTGTCTCGACAGTGGGGCACTATAAGAATCAGACACGACTGCTGCTCAACAGCACTCCTTACCTAATAATGTGCTTATAGCCGCGCCATGAGCAAGTCTTCTTCGGGTCACATTGGGAAATCTGGACTCTACAACTACCGCATAATATGTTAAACATGTAATCTAGTAATTCCAGGCGTTAAAGTTAACTTTGTGATGGAGCGTATTCCGGAAGAGGAAAATATTCAACACAATCCTGCGCTCGAGTTTCGGCCTCTCTTTTCCTGGCACCATTTCGGCTTGTACAAGCTCCCTGATCTGAATTATCCTTTCCTTCCGGTGGTTACTTCACACAACTTTTTCGCAGGTGTCCTTGGCGTAATCGGCATCTGCGTGGATTGCAATCGGGATGTCTTTATGCTGCTACTATTGTGGCCACTCACCGCGTCCCGAAGCGATTACTCGGACCCGGTTCCTAACAGCCACCAACACACTCTGTGGACCATCGGTTATCCGAACGGAAATTCACCAAACTGACGCTGTCGATGTAGTCAAACTGTTTTTTGGTATTACTTTCATCTGGCTGCACTCCACGAATTGTCTCCTCCGTGTCGGGACTCACTAGTAGCAAATAGCGACCAGACTGGACTTTAGAGCAACGAGATGACTCGCGTACCTCGTTCCATTAGGTCATGGTTTGTAGTGGTTTCCAAGTGGCTCGCTTCTACCGTCCCTGGATCGGTGGTTAGAAGTCAGACAAACTCGTTTACGGCATGTTCATAGGGGGTTAGAGTGAGGTCCTTGCCTCTATTCCATCGGGACTCATCCATGAGAGACAACAACTCGCGGATTATGAGCTCAGTTCAATTTGCATACAGGACAAACGCCACAAGTCGTCTCGTTTCGATCAAGGGAACCATGAGGTCCTGCTCCACAAGCTGAGGATGTGTGGTGTCGGTGGCGCACTGCATCAGTGACTTCCTTATTGAGAGATGGCGGGTTCAAATAGATGACCACCTAACGGAATGGTACCCGTCCACTAGCGGCGTACCCCAAGGCACAGTATTAGGGTCCATTTTATTCCTGATCCACATCAACGACGTACCTCAGCTTCCTCGGTCGCCCTGCGCATTATTTGCGGACGACCTGAAGATTTCGAGGATTATTGAATCTCCCGGCGACTGTGACGTCCTTCAGCAGCACCTCGACCGCTTATCCCGGTGGTCTGCAGAAGTTGATCTACCGGTTACCTCGACCAAGTCTTCGTTAAGGAGCCTGGGGAGGGGTGGTAATGGGCGTGCATACACCCCGCTGCATTCCACCAGACTGTAAGCAAACGGACTACGCCTGTTTTGTGCACTTAGACGCAGCATCTGCAATTAGTCTGAAAAGATTGTCACCCGTCTGTTCTCTTCCATAATGAGACCGGTGCTTGAGTACGGCTCACCCGCCTATTGCCCGATCAAAATAGGTGAGGTGCAGAGACTGGAACGGGTCCAGCATGTAGCTACCCGGCTCATCCCCAGTTTACGGGGTATGTCGTACGAGGACCGATGTAGGAGGCTAAGGCTGTATACCTTGTCATATCGTCGGCTTCGAGTTGATCTCATTATGACGCACCGGATACTGCACCTGGGCCACTTCCCTATGTTGAAGCCGCTGCTGTACGTTCGCGTACCAAACAGCATACGCGGACACCGGTACAAACTAGTGGTACCGCTCACTCACTATGCTTCTAGCGTCGAGTGGTGAAATATTGGAACTAATTGCCGAAGACTCTAGTCGAGGCGAAATCTGTGTTGAAATTTAAGAGATTCCTCGACGCCCACTTTGCGGACTACAGATATAGGGAGCGTATCGCACCCGGATAAGATGTAGTGCAGCTGCAATATGCTGTCACCGCGCAGAAATCAACGACGTAATTCCGCGCACGTGCCCGATCCACCTACGATGGAGCGACAAGTTTATTACCTTCTCGCTCAGTATTCGTGGCAACCACTCTGGGTCAGATGGCTATCGGCGAATAAAGCTGAAAACTCACCAAGGCACTTCATTCATTGTGGTCACAGGCGTTTCACCAAAATCGTCAAAAAAAGCGCACGTTGCTTGTTTTAAGGCAACATACTACCGCTACGTATGACCAGCTCCAAGGAACCACTAATAATACCACGTTCTCGATACCAGGCTGTGTCTGCTCCCCTCCATATCGTGAGTAAAAGTGTAAGCAGCACGGCGGAACCCAGGAATACACGAAGGCCTGGAACCAGATTGATCGTGTCGTTGCGCAGTCAGTCCAAGATCTTTGGCTGAGATGGATTCGACCACTGGATTCTTATCACGCCTCAGTTCACGCATACACGTTGCTTAGTCGGCTTCAGTGGAACATCAAGCTTAGAGCCCCTCACTCAGTCTGAACTCGCAGTCCGCAACGTAGCAATATCAAGGCGAACCAATTTACTAGCTGTCATTCTGCATCATAGAGCAACTTGTCGACCTGGCCTGAGTCACCCGGATTTGAAGCGTCAGTTAGTTTGCTTGGGATACATAAGCTGGTTCCCTTGGGTATTCAACTGCAATGTGTCTGCAACATCATGAAACGGCATCTGACCAGTAGCCTCAGAACTGGCCAAAGGCGGCGAGGGCACTGTCAATGTTATCGGGTCCAATAGACAGTAGGAGTATATCCACACACGTTGAATAGACCATCGAATGGATGACTTGACGAATGATTCGGTGGGCCCGACATGGCACCATCATTGACTGAATGGCCTAAATTCACGCGGGACGTCGGTGTTACATTATCTACTCTGTTTTAGACCCATTGTTAACTCACTGTGCTGAGATCCACTGATGGTCGGTCCATCATCATATTCAACAATGTACAAGTCATTGAATTGATGTCTCTAGGCTAGTGACTGTCAGCCGTCATCCCCAATGGTGATGTTATGATCAAGGTATGAGTAGCCTTACTGCTATTTTTTCCAAAAATTTACTGACACCATATTATATCACGCTGATCGTCGTGAAAGAGAGGATACACTAACCGTATGTCTGCATTTTCGTTAGTCACTGAAACTGTAGCAAGTAGTAACCTGGTTCACCATGTTGGTTTTTCTTAGTTAAAATACCACCTTCGATCCAACTAATCGTGCCAGTTTGTGATGCTGCTCAAATTTGGAAGGCGAGCCAGGGACCCTCACTCACTACCTTGAAACCTCCTGCTGAGTAAGGGCTCACGGAGAGCTATCATCTGGGACCCTGACGGAAAGTGGGCGTCCCATGGTTGCTCGTTATCTCTTCATTCTTTAACTTCCGATCAAAAAGCATAGCTGAGTCCCTGGAGTGCCCGTCGAACTCGAATCGCCTACGGCGGCTCGGTCACATATGGCTCATCCCTACAAACCGGGGGTTTTGGCGTGTATTCATTAGCAACACTGCGTCTATTTGGAACAAATCCTGAGGCGGTCAGTCAACGATAGAGCTAAGTGATTCGAGTGCAATCGCAGGTGGCGCAACGAAACATCGTCAGTCTCACAAATAGATATGTTGCTGTAGCAGCGTTTTGAGCCGGCTGTCCGTGTAAATCTCAAGCGATTCCAAGCGTTGCACCACTACTGCTACTTCAAACGTCAGTGAAACAAGTACCGCGCCATTTTGGAAAACTGGCGAATAGCAGATGACGCGCATCACGAAGGCCAAGAGTAGAGAAAGGGGGATGTTGAGTGGGCTGGCTTACCGAACTACGTCCTCCTGGTGCCAGCTGGGTAATTCGGGTTTACCCCGCTCCAGCGAAGTGCTCGGCTGCAGTGTTCCAAGAAGTGGTGGGTTTTTCCTGGTAAACGTTCTTCCTAAGTCGGGTGGATGCTTGTCCCCTTCTTGGATGGGGTCCTCGGGATACACCGCATCAGGGGACGGACGCCTTATCGGATATGGTGCAGTCA